CAATTTGTAGATCTGTAACAATTGGCTATGGATTTGAGGGTGAAACCAATTGGGGATTGTGCGAAAAGAGAAAATGAATCTTTTGATATCAAGTTTGCGAAAATCCACTGCTGGATTCCGAAGTTATGGCCTATGAATAGTAACGGATTTACTATTCACCCTTCTTCCTAGAGAGAAGGAAGAGAAGATTTGTAGCCTTGCAGTTGCATTACAGTTTACCTTCTTATTTTTTACATGCGTGCTAGTAGGTGAGGCCTTTTCATTGTCTCAATAGGATTAGTAAGGTAAGGTTTAGCCCGGTTTGAGTTGCCTTGGTCCTATGCCTTTGGAAAAATATCCACACGGCTATGAGATTATATGCCCTCGTGAGACATTGCCGGCAGCTACACCATGAATCCTCTACATGAGGCTGCCATCTTAACGCAATGTGAGGCGCAAATGAGTGATTATATAGCCAAGGCATATAGGTAACAATACCGGTACTATTGTCCCCCTTATTTGTACTGTTCCTAATTGTTGTACTTTTATTTTCATTTATTAATAAAAAAAAACTAGCTCTAGGCGCTTGCCTAGCGGATTGCAAAAAAAAAAAAAAAGTTACACAAGTGTTGTCATCTCTTTTTTTCTCGTCGGATTTGTTGGTAAAATTCACACGGAAGAGACAACACAACGAGCTGCAGTTTGGTGCTATCTCAAATTCCTTAGAAATCCCTTTTAGAAAAACAAACACACCTTTTTCTCACTGGCTTTGTTGGAAAAACTCATTTACTCATTTCCTCTGCATCTTCCTAAGAAGCTCTCCCTGTAAAGTGGCCATTACAAGTGAATCTTCAGTAAGTGTAAAGTGAAAAGGGTGAGAGATTATCAGAGTCGGAAACTCAATATAACACATATTCACATACTTCTAAAAAGATTTAACATATTTAACTTCAACCAGGCGACAACTGTTCAAAATGTTTCCCTGATTATCCTAGACCAATTTTTTTTTCTTTTTTCTTTGCAACAATTCAAGTGCCATCAATTTCAATTTAGTCCTTGCTGTCCCAGTTTTCAACTAAACAATGCACAATGTATTCTAAAACACATGTAGTTTAATGCTAAGTTACAGTTGAGAAAAGCAGTTGAAAAATGAATAAAATAAAAATGGACTATGACATTTCTATTTTAATGGAAAGGTGCAATACTTAAACTTTTTACATTGAAAGAACAAATACTTCGACCAGAGTATTTGATTGTTTTCGGAGATTAATGTTGTTGTACAAGACATTTGGCCCTCACAAATTACTTCCTGTATAGTTCATCCTCTTCCTTATACACCCTTTCACTGAAACTACATATTAAAATAAAAGGTCAATCACATGTAACAGATGTTATGAATTATTAAATTCCTTAACTTATTGCTTGCAAAGATGTAGCAGTTATGCACCAAAATTCATATCGCAATCAACCGGTGAATTCTCATCTACTAATGTAACAGGTTATCAGAAGTCAAACTTATAATAGATGTTGAAGATTGATTCCAGATTATTTTACTTACCTCGAATTGTGTCAAAGGAATAAACTTTAAGCATGTTGTTCCCCAAACTCTCGTAATTTTCTTGGATTTGCTTAGCAAAAGTCACAAGGGAAGAAGTACATCGATGTAACTGAATTTGCTGCAGTGTCAAACTATCTACAAATCCTTCAGGAATCTCTTTTAACGTACGACAGTTTCTGATAACTATGTGCTCAAGGCATGGGAAATAATCATCAGCGGCTCTCCAGTAATCAAGATCCAACCACTCAAGGAGCAAGAATTTCAATTCAAGAAATCCCATCTCTGTTACTTCCCAGACTGTATCTGTGGGATAACTAATTACAAAGGCATCAGCCTTCAACTGGAGCACCTCAAGTTTGGGCAACTTGCTAATGATCGTCATGTCCTCCCACAGTAGAAAAGTTTTGCGAAGTGTCAGCTTCTTGAGATTAGGTGGGAAAGAACCTGCGAATGGAAGCCTAAGAAGTACATCATATCTGGTAAGGATGTATGATGCAATTTTTAGTTCCTCAAGCTCGGGTAAATATATTAGATTATCTAAGCATATAGGCTCATAATCAAATTCGTCTTCAGTGCCAGAAATACCCAATTTTCTCACATTTTTAATCCCTTCAAATATTTCTTTTGTGCAACAACAAGGACTCAACCCAGAAACACTTTGTAAGTTTTCCAAAATGCGGTACTTAACTTCATTAGCTGATACCTTTGGAGGAGAGTATAGAGACATCCTTGTAGAGTGGAGATGCTTCAATTGAGACATTTCCCAAATTCCATTTGGTAAATGCACGAGATCGATTTGTGGAAGACTTATGGAAAAGATAAAAGTTTGTAAATTCCAAAGATTGGAAATTGATTGATGTTCAGAAGTCTCAAAATTAACCACCACAGCCAAATACCTCAAAGAAACTAGGTGTACTACTCCAATAGGGAATGAAACTAATCTTATTGCCACCAAGTCCAATACTCTAAGAAGTTTAAAATGGAATAGTTTAATAGATAATTGACGCCGCACCAGCTCAGTGGGATGAAAATGAATAGAACGTATTTTGCTATGAGTAAGATTTTCCAAAAGAGCATAAGAATCGTAACCTCGCTCTGGATTAACTGACACCCATCGGCCTTGAGAGGAAACCCTTGTAGATCCTCGGCATGCAACATACAAAAGATTCTCGCTTTCAGCTTCTCTCAAGCATAAATCATGGAGAAGATCATGAATCCTACATGTCTTGATCTTGTCATCCAAACTTTGCTTGCTAACAACAACCAGACTTTTATCAATAAGAACATGTAAAATATTAGCAGCTACTTGTTCCAATCCTTCAGACCCCTTTAGCTCTAAGAGTCCTTCGGCAATCCATAATCTAGTCAATTTCTTCACAGAAATCTCACTAGCTTTTGGAAAAACTCCAAAGTAAAGAAAGCAAGATTTCAAATAAGAAGGAAGATGAGTGTAGCTCAAACCAAGCACTCTTGAACAATGCTGATAATCATCAAGATCTACTGATGAGATCACACTTTGAGCTACTTTGATCCACTCATCCATTGTTTTCTTGCTAGACAGAGTCCCTGCAACCACAGAAATCATTAGTGGTAAACCTTTGCAATTACTTACAACTTCCTTCGCCACATTCTCATATTCAGTTGGACAATCTTTTTTGCCAAACACCTTTTGGCAAAACAAATGCCAACTTTCCTTTGGCTCCAGGAAACGCATTGGAAACAGATCCTTAGGAGAGCTAGCATATTGAGCAACCTTCATGTCTCGAGTAGTCAACAATATCCGACTTCTATTATTGTTTTCTGGAAAACATAATCTAACATCATCCCAGGCTTCCCTACTCCACATATCATCCACAACAATCAAATACCTTCTACCCTTTAAACTTTTTTGCAAGTGATCTGCTAGCTCTCCATCGGTTTTCTCATCAAGCTCTTTGGCCGCCCCAACAGTGTCTTGAAGGAGGGTTAGAAGCATCTTTCTTAAACTGTAGTTCATGGACACAGTAATCCATCCACGAACATCAAAGAAGCTCAAAATTGAGGGATCAGAAAACATCTTATTAGCAAAAGTTGACTTACCTATGCCGCCCATCCCAACAATAGAAATGACTTCCAATTGAGATGAGTGTCCGGTAAGTTGACTCCGCATGCGCTCTTGTTCAATGTTGTACCCCACCATATCGTTCACGAGGGTTGAAACATGCAATCGTGGTGAACTAGAACCACCGATTGAATGATTTACAGCTTGCAATTTGTTATTCTTCATCTGTTTGATGAGCTTTTCCTTGATCGAATCAACGTCACATATAGCTTGTAGCAAGATCTTATAAAGTCTCTCATGGGACTTTGATGGAAGGTGGAAGACTCGTTGCAACATCTTAAGAAGCGTCTTCTGAGCCTTTCTTTGAATGTGTGATTCGACTTGCTCCTCTACTTTATTTGCTAGATCTTTGACCTTTTTCTGCAAATCCTTCATTGGTTCATCATCAGAATTGTCCAGAAACTCTAGCAGAGAGCCAACCTTCTTGTGGAGTAATTCCAAAAGTAATTTATGACCCTGCAGAAGGTCTAAGCGGGATTGTGGAAGCTGCTGCATTATTCCCATCAGAGAAGTTACAGCAGCATAAGCAGCCATATCTATTTCTAGTTACGCAAAGAACCTTCAGATATCTTTACAATATTTGTGAGTGAAGAAATTTGCAGAATAGTTGGGACTTAAAATGATAGATAGACAAGCTTGACAGCTCCTACTTATAAGTATATCAAGAGGTGGTCATTTGCTAAATACTTGTTGAAAATTCCAGTGAAGTTTCCTACAGAACTTAGCTAATTGCAATTTTAAATATTGTAGTTGTCTTCCACTACTGATTTAGAATATGTCAAGTCAACTACCCCTTCATAATTGCTCGCTGAAAAATCAACTAGCAATCAATTAAGAGATCATCACGGACTGAAGAGAAGATGACTATGTCACCATTTAGGTCCAGATAAATATTGTGGGCAATAAGTTAATTATTTAACTCCAATATGAACTCAACATAAAAGCAATCATCACATGGCACGAACTATTCACATCTTCCATCAAGTCTCTTCAAAATGCTGTGACTCGATTACGAATAAATCAATTTGCAGAAAGTTGACACACAAAAATGATAGACAAGTTTGAATATCAGTATTGTTAGAATGATTTTAAAGATGACAATTTGAATTAAGTTTCTATACTAACTCAAAACTCTATGATTGACAGGAAGATGTAGAATAATTCAGTGACCTCCAGATTCAGTTAAAGAGGGAAGTGCACACACAGCAGATGCTCAGCAGTAAGCCAAGGAAGGACGGTCCAAGACCCTGTCAAGACACAGGAAAAGGATGAAATCAATGACGAGGTGATTGGCCGCATTGGCGGAGCCAGGATTTTTACCAAGGGATTTGGCTTAATAAAAAGTAAACACACGAACAAGCCAAGGGGATTTAACATCTACTATTTATCCATAAAAAAATAATTTTGACCTTATATATATAGTACTCCCTCTGTTCCCGTTTATGTGAACCTATTTCCTTTTTGGTCCGTTCCAAAAAGAATAACCCCTTTCAAAATTTAGTAACAATTTAGCTTAAACTTACAATTCTACCTTAATGAGAAGCTTTTATAACCACACAAATACTCTGGGCCCCTTTTTGACTTGTTTAGGACCACAAATTTCAAAAGTCTTATTTTTTCTTAAACTTCGTGTCCAGTCAAACAGGTTCACGTAAATTAGAACGGAGGGAGTATAATTTTCCGGCGAAGGGGATACGGATGAACCACCTTCCGCCACCCTAGCTCCACCCTTGATTGGCTGATAATTGTGGGAAATCGGATCAAGGCAAGCATTAATCAGCGTAATAGGAAAGGAAACTGAAGATTGATAATCAAGAAAATTGGAACACAATCAAGGAAGAAATAATTGTGAATGCCAGCAAAGTAGCGGGATTAGGAAATGAATCAATCCTAAATCAGAGTAACACAACTACTATTACACTTCAACCTCACACTAATCGGGATAGGCTATATGAATATGTGTGAATTCATCATAATTGACTAATTTTAGCTGACCTCAACTTATCACAACTCTCCTCCTGTATCCTAGCTTGGGACCACCAACGTGAGCTGCTCACATATGATGCAAAGTTCACACAGTTGAGAAGTTCAAATGCTTTACTCACTCAATAAGTCGTTACAGAAAGATCAGATACAAATACATCTGCATGACTGGGGTCTTCTTTACCTTTTAGGCCATACATAGGTCATGCTCGGCTTTATACTAAAAAATAGTGTTTTTAGGTCTGTTTCCATTATAACCTTAGTACACTGAGTAACTTCGGGCTCTACTACCCCGGTACACAGAGCAACACGTTTTTTTTAACCCAGAAATTTGCTGAGGGCCCGTGTCGTACCGTTTAAAACTTGGTGGATAATAATGATAGTGCCCCCCTCTACCTTCTCCACTCAAATACCAGACTTTTGTCTGGAACAAGGTTCGAACCCTTGACGTGCGTCTAACTCACACATCACAAGTTGCACTCGTATCACTAGACCAAATGCCTCGGGGCACGCACAAAGCAACACACTTAGACTGCATAAATCTTTGATCTGTCTATCATTTTGCATCATTCAAACTGCAATCAGTACGAAATCATATATTTACGTGTAACACATCAATTGTACATCGTTTCTAACATAAGCAAGGAAAGCACACACAAACATGTACAAATTGCAATTAGCAAATTGAGCATAATTTCAAACCATTGATCATCTACACAAGCAAAACTACTAAATTTGAAGGATTCATACCATCACTGTATTAACTCGGTAAAAATAATTTTTACGGCATGTACTTACTAATTACATCATTTTATAATTGTTTAACCAAAAATCTGAGTTCTTTGGTCAAAGTTAAAAAGAAATTTGGGTTACTGATAATCAAGAGACGAAATAAAATACTTTTGAGAATGATGGTAAAACAGCAAATAGTTGTGTATTTCAATGAATTCCCAATAGTATTCCGTGTGTTTACAAATTATGATACTTCTTCCTTTTATAGATAATTCCAGGTAAAGGAATGAAGCCTCAGCTTTAATGATATAATTATGAGTAATAAATGACATTAAATAAGCCGTTATATAATCATTCCTATTAAATACCAATTTCTTTAACGTATCAAGTATTTAATAATGAATTTGGACTCCTTTCTGTCATCAGATCTTTGTCTTTAATGCCTTCTAATCCGTTGGTTGTAAATAATTTAAATTGGTACGAGACTCGTATCTATACGTCGTCTCGTGCCTATTTAAATTCTTCTTCCCGTGGGTGTCTCCATCCGTGCCTCTTAGNATCCGTTGGCTGTAAATAATTTAAATTGGTACGAGACTCGTATCTATACGTCGTCTCGTGCCTATTTAAATTCTTCTTCCCGTGGGTGTCTCCATCCGTGCCTCTTAGTCAATTGTTGCGCTTTGACCATTTAACCAAACCACGTGTCATGCCACGTCATCTTTAATATAAACTCAGTTTTTTCCCAATACAGATAGTCCCCCCACTTTCCATTTATTTATCAATTAAATAATTGGGAAGTGGATCTTCATGAAAAAGGAATTTTTGCCACAATTAATGCTCATGACAGTATTAACGCCTCAGTAGTCTTTTCCATTTAATGTTCTGCCCATGTGTCATTTTCTAATTGATTCCGCTATTTACACCCTTTTTCGAGACTTCTTCATTCTCACTATTCACGAAGTGATAGCTGCCTTTATTATAGCCTTTCCATCATTACACTTCTAAGGTTGACGGTTCCCATTTTACACATAACTTTTTCTTCCTTTGTCTTCTTCACAAATCTTCAACAAGCACTTTCTTCTTTATTTTTACTCTTTCGACTTATCCTTCCTAACAATGTCTTCTTCAAACCCTAACCGTAAAAAAGTTCCAATTCTAGATCAATTCCCCAACGCCCCTGTTAGACACAGAAGAGGCGGAGGAGGTAGGCTTCGAACAGGGTTAGNTGATTCTTCTCAAGAACCCTCAGTTGATGAGATAGTTCCCAGCGATTTGTCTTTTGAAAGTGACAAAACGTCTCTTCAAAAACAAATTGCAAATTTAGAAAAAGCCGATACTTACCCCACAATAGTAACCGAGCTTACAATCCCCACCATAAGAAAAGATTGTAACTGGAAAGATAGTCTCCGAATGTCAATTCCTTCCCCAAATCAAAGAATTTCCTCCTTTAGAAGTGGGTATTCTTCTATTTATACTTACCCCTTCACTTTAGGTTTTAATCCTCCGATTGACC